GAATGTGATTCCTTTCCTCCTCGTGTTTCCCTCAACACTTAGACATCCTCATCATGCATCTCTTAGGTGGTCCTTCCCACTCAAAGTCAATGTGTGTTATGACATCATCAAGGAATGCTTCCTTCACCACTCTTGTTGATATTCCTGTGATCTTTCTCAAATCCATGACCTTACTACCATTGCCCATGGGATGTCCGATCCATCTTCATAGTATCTATCAAGATAGTGTCTATAGACACATGCCATGGACAAAGTCGTAAACACATAGCCCTTTCTTTTCTTTCTCATACTGGGTTAGCTTTCCAAACATTCCTTTGTAAACCATACCCCTGGTTGGTTAGCTTTTACCTTTCTTAGGTAGTGATCTAACCGGATGATTGGTTCATCTATTTCATCTTGGTGTTTTACTTCAACGGTTGGAGTTAGGATCTCATCCTATATGTTGTTTTGTGATGTATATAATTTAAATATTCAGAACACATCCCGTATTTTTTGTTTGATTTTTTATAACAGATAATGCATCATACACATATATTTATTTACACGTTTTTTAAAAGTCAACTTTTTTTCAACAATTTTTTACAGTTCTTCTAATTCATGTTACTGAATAAAACATGCGCGTATTGAACATCATTTAATTCTCGTACCCGTGTATCGTATCATACACTTAAACAACTTCATTTGGACGGTTTTCAGTCTTAGATGTTTTTACTTGGACTGATTCCTTAATAAAAGTTTCACTTGGATTGTTTTTACTTGGACCGATTCTTTGTTTCAAATTTAAATCCAAGTAAAAAATACATGTCACGGCGGTAAGTCGAGTCGCGGCGCCAGCCAGCCGCCATATCGCCTAGGCGATAAGGCGCCCACCTAGGCGACAACTAGGCGACTAGTCGCCTACATATGTATAATATTATATATATATATATGTTTATATATATATATATATATATATATATATATATATATATATATAATTATATATTATGTATACTCCCTCCGTCCCTTAAAACTTTGCCATCTTTCCTTTTTTGGACGTCACAAAAAACTTTGCCACTTTCCTTTTTAATCATTTTTTTTGTGGTTTCTGTTATTTCTCTCTCCTCTGCACAAACCTCAACCACACAGTTTTTACATTATTATTCTCCGTGCCGGTCAACTTTGGCAAAGTTTTAAGGGACAGAGGTAGTATTATATTAGTAACTAAATTGTATATAACTTAGAATTGAAACCCACAATCAACAATTAAAAACAAAGGTTTATTAATGAGAATTAAGATTAAAAATGTCTGTCTCATATCTGTATATCTCCAGCTCGGGACAATATTATACGTAGTATAACATATAAATATATAATAAATTAATGGTTTAAGAATTTATTATTAAACTAATAGGAGCATGTCAATATATCACTAGTAAATAAATTAATGGTGTAATAGTCTATATCACCATGTTCACCGTATTTAATAAATTAATCGTTTTATAGTATATATATATAATTAATACACTACGTATATATTGATATATATATGTCACTTAATTAATAAAAATATTAAAAAATAAATCCACTGCACACCGTTAGAGGATGGTAAAATACACAGTATAACCGGGCTTTTCTTGGTTGATGCGCTTCTTCAACCTGGCCTTCACATCCCTTTCTACGTTCTGGCTTCGTACAAAGCTTCGCACCAGACTTCTCCCATTTAGCTTGCTTCTTCGATCTGATTTCGCACCAAGCTAACCGTCGCCGATGTTCACCCCCTTATCCTTCAGCTCGCTGCTGGTCGCCGCCTCTCACCACTCGCCTCTTCTCCTCTGGCACAAACGCAGCGGCTCCGGCGTAGTTACCTCTCTTCCTCTGTCTTTCTTTCCACTCTTTTTCTCTTTTTCTCACGCAGTTTTATTGTTTGAGCTTGTGATTTTCATAGACAAAGGGAGTCTACTTGGTTGCTGAGGAATTCTTACTGCTACTGATCTCAAATGAGTTTTGAGATAATTATCCATATAGGAGTAAAACATAAAAATTATGCAAAAATAGGAGTCAAGCTTCCCGTGAAGTTTATTAGGAGTAAAAAAGGGATGGCCTGACATAAATACCCTTAATGAAATATCGAGCTTCATTGTTTATTAATAATTTAAATAAAAGCATTAAAAACAAATAGTACAGCAGCCAGACAACAACATAACCCTAGGGCTGATGACCACCTTCTTCGCCGCCACCACCGGTCATGTCATCTACCGCCGCCGCCGGTCACGTCATCTACCGCCGCCGCCGGTCACGTCATCTACCGCCGCCGCCGGTCACGTCATCTAAGCTATCCACCGCCTCCACGGTGCCGCTGCCTCCACGGTGTCGCCGCCACCACCACAGGTGCCACCGGTGGCCTCATCCACAACCTATCACGACAAATCTCAGATATGATCTCCGAATTGGCATGCTATCATGGAAATGTCATCTTGCAGTTGAAGTGTCATCTTAATAACATCATTGTCATACTGATATAATAAAATGACATTTTCATATTGAAAAACATGGCAATATTGTACTTCCAATGAAATCGTATATTGTCATCTTTGTACCGTTAGTGCCATAAAGATGGCAATAAGTGTCGAGATAATACTTTCACATACTGTATTTCTAAAGAAATAGTATATTGCCATGTTTGTACCGTAAGTGCCATATTTGATGGCAATAAGTGTCGAGATAATACTTTCACATAGAATAACATGTCACTATTAGTATTGTATTTGGAAAGGAGAAATATTTTCATTAATGCCATAAAATTACCTTAAAATAGTGTTAATGATAATTTGTGGTTAAATAATATAAGTAATTTGAAGAGTTACAACGAGTTTTCAAAAAGAAAATAGAAATCAAGCAAAGCACCATCTTTATTCAAAAAGTTTCTAGTCCCCAACTTCATATTTTTCAAATGTAAATAAAAAATCCAGTTTTTTAAAATGAAAGTCTCTGTCACGGAGCAAAGGAAATAAAGGTGGTGGAGGAGGAGGAGAAATTAATGCTTACCTACACAATCGCCGCCCGCCGCCGACCAGTACGACGGTCGGAGTTGAGAAGGAAAAATCACCGTCGAAACTTTGCAATTCACCGGAGATGGAGTAATTGTTAGATCCGTCGGAAATTTTGGGGGAGAAAATATGATGGATGATGTGGTGCAGGAAGAGAGAGAAAGGAGATGCAAAAAGATAGCGTATGTGATGGAGATGCAAGCATGAGAAGATATAAGAATGAGGAGAGAGGAGAAAAGAAGTGGGTGAGAGAGCATATGCCTGATACGGAAGATTAAAATATTAGGAGGGTAAGATAGGGATAAAATAAAAGAAACTCCTATTTTGGGAATAAAAAAACATAAAGTCCTATTCTTGCATTATTCTTATATTTTAGTCCTATTTAGATCAAATACTTATGAGTTTTATATTAAACTCAAATGAATGTACACCTAAAAGAAATGAACACACACAAATTAATATTGAGCGCATTGGAAATGGGTTTTATGTTAAACTCAAATGAGTATAATGCCCAAAATGAATGAGCATACACAAATGAGTTTTTGAATTTTTTTATACTCATTTCGTAAGTTATGTATGCTCATTTGGTACTGCTTTATGCTCATTTTAAAATGTTTCACATTTCAAACGTATCATACTACATTATATTCACATATTGAAATTAATTGAAATTGATTGTAAACATAATTTAAGAAGTTTTTAAAAACGAAAAAATAATAAAAAGAAACCGAATTAAAAGATATGAAGCAGAGATCGCCGGTGCTCATTGAAACACTCCTAACACTCAAAAGAACAGACTTGATGCTCATCAGAATTGCACAAATGCTCATTTAAGAGAAATCATGATTTTTGCTAAATTTACAAAATTGGCACCGGTTGTACGGTGTCAGCCGTACAACCGGCTGTATGATATACGCTTCGACTAGAGAATAAGAGATAGGAGATAAGAAATTGGTGGACTCAAGTCAATCATCTGGGTCATCTAGTCCTGTATTTGGTCGTCTGCTTCAAGCCTTCAACAACGGACTCGAATATGGCGACTGGCGAGACCGGCGACTTCTTTTGCTCCCTGAAGTTGGTTCGTCGCTTCATCTGTGAGTTCCGAATTCTCTACGACTCTGCTTCGGGCTTTGTATTTAATTAGAAGGCCATCGCCTTAAATCACAAATTAAACGAGTTTCTTAAAAAAATTAAACCTTAATCTACTCAATTTTGGGTCTGCGGAATGCGGATGACTTTTCGACTGGGCTAAAGTAGGCGGCGACAAGTTGCCAACTTCACACCTGGATGACGCCTGGACGATGCCAAACACGGCTGGTATTCTTCCGACGAGGCGAGCTTACCTGCCCAACAATCTCCAGCGTCGTGACGCCTAGTTGGCGACTAGGCGACGCCTAGGCAACACCTTGACAAGCTTGAGTAAAAACATTTTGAAAGGTTTAAAAATGTTTTTACTTGGACCGTAATTTGATGGTCTGATCTGATCTGATAAATGTTTGGTCTTTTTGTATTTTATACGGAATAACTATTAAAGTATATCTGGTCTGATCTAATCTAGTATGGTCTGTTTAAGTCTGAGACTGAAAACAGTCTAAGTAAAAACATCCTAAGTGTTTAACCTTTTCAAGTTATTTATTAAGAAAAACCTTTCCAACTGATTCCATTGAATACGTATACCGTACACCTGGTTGTACGAGGCTCACCATACAACCGAGTATTTTTACCTTATACCTAATGAGTATAATGTTAAAAGAAATGAGCGGTAGTGTTAAATCATTATTTTGGTAGCACAATTGTGTATAGAAATATGCAATAGATTATTATGATCTACCCGTTATATATATATATTAATATATTAAAAATCAACTTATTCATTTAATTATATTATTATTGTTATCAAAAATATTTATAATGCCAATTTTATACCCCGTAATTTAATACAGTACTAATTCTCAACACCCAATTTTGCAGAAGAAATAAGAAAAGTCACCAACTAATGCTCCAAAGAAAAGAAAAGCGAAAAAGTGTTCTTCCACACCCGAATGAAAGTCCCATAGTATGTCTCGCTCCCTTTGGGTTGAAGCCATAGTCTCCTCTCCCTGTTTCTTCCCTCCCCAGAGGTGTTTTTACGATTTCCCCTCTCTGATATCACACATAATAATAAGCGTTGTTCTTTAGATTTATAAATGCAGGACGTTACTGGGTACAGATCTGAGACTGAGTATTCCACACTGTGATTATTTATTTTTATTTTTGTAATGTATGGGTTTGATGTGAGAAGTATGTGTATTTTATATTTGTCTAGGAAAATCTTGATTGTGATGAGGTCAGGAGCGTGAAGTTTTCTTAAAGCTCTTGTCTTGCTTTTCAGGGAAATTGGGTAACGCATAAATTATTGATCGTAGAAGGCTCCTTAGAAATATACTAATGCGGGCCTGCTATTCTTAACTCTTTTGCTTTTCTGAGTTTGTTCCGTTGTTTTCCTCCTGGTTTCTGGAATTTCTCAGCATTTGACCTCATGCCATCAGCTATAGGTACATGAGAAACCGTGTTTGTGTTTTAGCCAATCTTGTTTCAATTGTTTTAGCCAATATGTGCGAGTAACATCGTCTTGTTTTTACGGGTTCCCTTCTTTCTTTCGGAAGCACCCTAGTTATGGTACTAGGGAAATGATGTTTAATTTATCATTTTCAAATTGAGTGAAGTTCTTTTTCTTTTGTCAAGTTTACAAATAAATGAAGGTTTCAGTAATGTAATTTACATGTTCCATTTGAGTCCATTGTAGTTCAAGTCTAAGGATAAATAATTTTTTCCCCCTATCTTTATGAAAGTTTCTTTCTTCATCTTCTTTGTGCTCCACACGTGTTTGTTGGAAGTGGATTGTGGAATTATCATTTTACTTTACATAGGATGTGTGTATAAGTTGAAATCCTATTTTGCTTTGTCAGCAGTTTTTAATATTCTTTTATATTGGAAATGGATGGTCTAGTATTTCATAAAGAACTGCCTAATATTATACACGTTATAATATCCGCCAACAAACTTTGGATTTTACACGGAAGATTTCATCAGCATTTCCCATTGCCTCTACCCTCTCTTACTTTTTTTCTTTCTCTTAACATGTAACTGGAATACAGTGTGCATGTTTTCTTTTGCCAGTATTAATTTACATAGGATGTGTGTATAAGTTGAAATCCTATTTTGCTTTGTCAGCTGTTTTAATATTCTTTTATATTGGAAATGGATGGCCTAGTATTTCATAAAGAACTGCCTAATATTATACACGTTATAATATCCTACAAACTTTGGATTTTACAAGGAAGATTTCATCAGCATTTCCCACTGCCTCTACCCTCTCTTAGTTTTTTTCTTTCTCTTAACATGTAATTGGAATACAGTTTGCATGTTTTCTTTTGCCAGCCTTAATTTAAGAAACCAACTAAATATTCATCAAACATTGGCTTGGGTGTTATGAGTCATACAATTTTAGCAGCTTTTAGAGCACCATATGAGCCAATAAGCCATGCAAGTAAGATCTTTGAAATACCCGTTTTACTGACTCTTCCTATGATCCATAGGAGTAAGATATCATGCCAAGTATTAGAGAAAAGATGGTACATATATACTTCGTAAAACCTTGTTCTATTTCAATGCCCACCTACATGAATCCTACACAGTGTGTGGTTCAAGACATAGAGTGTGAGTTTAGAGTATTATTACCATTATCCTATTATAGCATTTGCACATTTATTATGTTAACCATGCTAGGCTCTCGTAAGTGGTGGAGTTGTTTGAAGTATCTATCCTTTCCCTTTCTAGGCGATTCTGAGTATTACTTTTGAGATGTAATGACAGAGTTTATTATGCCCTATAAAGTTATAGGATTGGAAGAAACTAGTATCTTTCATGTTATTGGATCTCACCTTTTGGCTTCTTTTGTGGATCTTACTTCAATTATTTTGGCCCAATACTATTAGGAATTTTGGGTTGTAACATATGAAAATTTATGTGGAAGTCCTCGGCTTTATATACCGGATCTGATGTGCAGGCGTGTAGCTTAATGGTGATTACTGTCTGTGCGGAAAGATAAGAAGTTGACATTGACGTGCTAACATTCAATATTTCTAGATCTGTGTCTGCCATTACCCTTCAAAATTTGTTTTCCGATGTTCTTCTAGCGTTGATCTTTTTAGTTAATCAGCACACCATCCATTCAATTTTCTACAAGCTGGTTTCTGTTCATTTTTCTGTGATAAGTTTCCTGAATCACATGATATCATGCTTGTTTTATACTCATTATTTAAATTTTCATAAACCCTTTTGAGGTCATTGTGTTTTACTCTGTGTATCAGCTGACTATTCCTCAGTTTTTTTGAGTCTTAAAGAATGATTGAGTTTTTAATGCTCGTAACCCCAATTTTCCGTTTTCTTTCGCAAACATCTTTTGTCATTATTCCTTGATGAAAAAGTAAAGCACTAGTTTGATATCGGTTGTTTCTGTAGAAGACATGACTTGGGTATCATCTTATATATCGTAGTTTGTTAGAGACACAGTAGAATAAGGATAAATAAGAAGAGTAATAGACTAATAGCGAGAATAGTATAAATAGAAGGGGAGTGGGTAATAAAGGGAGGCTGTTTGACAGTTAGACTCTGGGCTGGGAGAAGCTGAGATACTGGTATCTCGTTTCTTGGGAGTTCTCTGTGCACTTTCCACCATTAATGAAAGCTTCAGTTGTTTCGTGAATACTATTCTCTTACTTGATTTCAATACAAACCTGGGAGAGTTCTTACAGTGGTATCAGAGCACGACGATCTCTGGATGAGAGATAAACGTGCTAAGATGGACAGACGTATGACGGAAGTGGAGCGAAGTTTGACAGATATGGCCAGAAACCAGAGAGAAACGGCATCAAGGCAAGATAAGATGGAGACGATGATGGCCGCTATGCAAGTGAGTATCGCTGATATTCAGAATCGACTTCCAGGTCGTTCGGGAAGCAGATCGCATAAGTCGGACTCTTCGCATCATTCTTCGCATCGCAAGTTGTTCCCCAGTTCGCATACTGAGTCGCGAACTGTTCACTCTGGTTCGCATGCGGAAAGGGCTTCTTTTAGTTCGCACACTGAGTCGCGAACTGTTTCTTCTGTTTCACACTCACAAAAGGCTTCGCGCGGAAAAATGGGGAAGATCGCGGAAAAGGTGGAGCGCGGAAGTTCGCAGACTGAATCGCGACCTTCTTATATTGGTTCGAAATCGCGAACAATTACTTTTAGTTCACAATCACGAACGGTTTTGCTCAGTTCACAGACATCGTCGCTAAGCGAGCAGGGTCAGTCTCAATCGCAAGATACTTCTTCCAGTCCTCTGGCTTCGCCTCGAGCCGAAAACCCCAGTTCGAAATCTCTATCCGAGTTCCCAGAGTCGCAGCAGGAGTTGGTTAATCAGCAGCACACCTATGGCGAAGAGGAACACAATAAGAAATCTTCAGTTAATCTTGGACCTGAAGCTGGAGCAACTTTTCGTTCTCTCACTGGTAACAACCCCTCCAACTTGAATAACAGCAGCAATGATTGGAGTTCGTTTAGAGAAAGCGAACTTTATTCTTCTGACAGGCAAGGATGGAACCAAGAAATTATGGCTGTTGTTCTCGGTAATGCAAGAGCTGAAATTGTATTTCCAATCACGAAGTGTTACTTGGTTCCTGTGCTGCTTCATACCAGCAAAGATTTTGACATTTTAAGGACAGCCTGGGTTTTTCCACTCTCTGTTTCAAGAAATCAGGTGAAGATGGACTCTTCTTTTGAGGAACGAGCAATGGCATTCAGATTTTGGTGGAGTCTTTCTATGGGAGTTGTTTGGTGGAATGATGTTGGATGTATTCAAAGTGCGGCAGAGGATGGCATTATTTCGCTGAAAAGTATCATGGCGGTCAATCATAACTCAATGGGAGAAAAGTCAAGGGGAGTTCAAGCAATTTTTAGTTCAAGAATTTCTGATGAGCAGATTAAAGTGGCTGAGAATCCTGATGTTAAGGGCATGAACACCAATTCTGCTATTGGTGTAAGTGATACACCATATGAAAGCTTGAAAACCTTTGTGGCTATTGAAGGCCTGAAGACTAAGGAAGAAAATGAAACTTCACCGGAAATACTATATGCTGCAGAAACATCTGTGAGTGGGAAAGATCAAATACTGAAGCTCCTCGCTCAGAAATCAGTGAGGTATTGGGAAGGTAATAGCCCCAGGATGAAGAGGAAGAAGAAGATCATGGATGCTTCCTATCATCCACCTTGAGGACAAGGTGGTTGTTTAGGGGGGGAGATATGTTAGAGACACGGTAGAATAAGGATAAATAAGAAGAGTAATAGACTAATAGCGAGAATAGTATAAATAGAAGGGGAGTGGGTAATAAAGGGAGGCTGTTTGACAGTTAGACTCTGGGCTGGGAGAAGCTGAGATACTGGTATCTCGTTTCTTGGGAGTTCTCTGTGCACTTTCCACCATTAATGAAAGCTTCAGTTGTTTCGTGAATACTATTCTCTTACTTGATTTCAATACAAACCTGGGAGAGTTCTTACATAGTTCTGCGTGGGACTGAATCTGCTTTCAGCGTTTTGCTAATTTTAATCATTTATTGTAGTTTATACTTCGCCCTTTTCTCACTTTATGTCTTATTCTAGATTTTTTTAAAGTTGATACTAAGTGAACCTGACATAGCTGATTTGGATCTCAATTCTGAAACTGAAATATAATTTGTGCAGTAGGACAAGCGATTGTTTCGTTATATTTGATCTTCTCCCCTTCTGCTCTAGCACTTCTGATAAGTGTTCAGATAATTAGGCCTTATGCTTGCTAGCCACACATCAGCACTGATCATGGTTAATAGTTGTTATTTTCTTGCTTGTGAAAATCGTCCATTCGTGGTGATAGACTCAACTGTTGACTGCTATTAACTATATATGGCTTCAGGTTCAATAGTTACCAAACAAAGTGAACATACTACAAAGTGCAAATAGATGATGTCAAATGGGCTTTTTGGTGCAAATTGAATGACATGTTATTCTTTGGATTTAGATGTTCAAAGGCTGTCCTCTAGAAAAAGGGAAATATTAATGTCTCATCATTCATTCCATATTCACTCTGGAAACTGCTGATTGTTTTTGCAGCAGAAGAGATCTTCCGAAATTGCTTTCAAAAGAAGTGAAAATTGGCCACATAAATTCTAAAACAAAAATGGCTGAGCAACCACCAAAGTTAAGCAAGAAAACATTGAAGGGACAGGAACAAAAGAAACCATCTTCCAGCAGTCCTAAGGATAATCTTCTATTAAAAAAGCAGCAGAAGAAAAGGCGTAACCCTGTCCGGATGCCACCATCTACAGAGTGGTATTCAGGTTTCAAATGTTCAAACTCATGGGTCTGCAAAAATGCAGCTTGTCGAGCCACCATTCCAATCGATGACACATTCTGCAAGAGGTGCTCTTGCTGTATTTGTCACTTGTTTGACGACAATAAAGATCCAAGTCTTTGGTTGGAGTGTGGTTTGGAGTCTGGCCAGGGAGAATCTTGTGGGTTAACATGCCACATTGAGTGTGCCATCCAACGAGGGAAGGCAGGGGTTGTTGATCTTGGTCAACTAATGCAGCTAGATGGGAGCTATTGCTGTGCTTCTTGCGGTAAAGTTTCTGGAATTCTAGGGTATGTCCTTTACACCCTCTCTCTCTCTCAATAACCCCCCTTTGATTACCAAGACTGATGAGCTCTTTTACTGATGCTTAGTTGTCTATATTATCCTGACTACAGCTAAAAAGAAGAGAAAGATGTGATATACTTTCTGAGTTAGTAGTTCCTAATATAAAAACCAATTTAGAGGGATGCACTTGGTGGCCTGTTACCGGTCTGTTTGGATGGAGGGGGCGAGGGGTTTCAGAGTGGTTAAAGGGAAGGCTTTGGAGGTCTTAGTTATATCTTTATATATTGGTTTACGTCTTATAAGAATTCAAAGAGCAACATAATATGTAATCATGTAACATTTTAATAACCTTTTATTCATTTTTAGAAATGTTCTATTTATTATTAAGGGCTAATCCCTCCAAAACTCTTTACCGAAGTAAAACCTAAGGGGGTCCAGTGCTTTTGCACTTCCTAACGTGAACGGATCTTGTGGATTGCCAGTAATGAAGTGAGTTTAGGGTTGAAGTAGACTTGATTGGAAATAAAAGCACACCAATAGAAAAGATCAAGAAGTCCTATAGTCTATTGTTATCCCAATTGTAGCAATAAAATAAAGAGGGCTTCTATGCCCCCCACTTAGTTGTAAGAATTCACCAAACCTTTCAAACTCAGATAATGAATAATATGCTCTACTTGTAGCTCATCTCATTGTTCATAACTTCATATTAACAGTCATTTACAAACTAGCTCTTTGCCCAGCAATGATGATGTGGATTTAACCTGATGCGTATTTTTTGTACCCATACAACATTTCAGTTCTTTTTTAGTCATGGTTATATTTTCCAGGTATTGGAAGAAACAACTTAGCATTGCAAAGGATGCTCGTCGTGTAGACATCCTCTGTTATAGAATACACTTGTGTTACCAGCTCTTTCACGGGACTTGTAGATTTGGAGAACTACACGAAATAGTTAAAGAAGCAAAGGCAAAATTGGAAACAGAGGTGGGCCCTTTGAATGGAGTTTCAGCAAAGATGGCCCGGGGGATTGTTAGCAGACTTTCTGTTGCAGGTGATTTGCAGTTGCTTTGCTCTCTAGCTATTGAGAAAGCAGATGAATGGCTAACTATTAAGTCCAGTGGCACCAGCAATCTTGGAGGTATTGCTTATCTGGTTAAACCTCCATTTTAGAATTACTTATAACAAGTTTTTTGATGATTCCCTTGACGGTTTTGAACATTCATTATTCCTTCGTAAGTAGGTGTGACCTGAAGGGCTCTGTCTCAAAACATTCCCATTTTTTTGCATGAATCCATAAACTAAAACCAACCTCGTATTGTTAAATGGTGTCCGATCAGGCGATGGCGGGATCATGGAAGAACGGAGTGACAGATTGTTTCTGCTGGCTGCAATAGAAAATTGGTTAAAAACAGTGGCTCATGGCGGCACTATATGGTGGAATTTTGGCCATCCGCTGTTAAAAGCACTGACAAAACCTATCTAAGCCTTTTCCCACTAGGCAGGGTCGGCTATTGCAGGATAGTGGTGTGTGGGTTAATTGACACTATAGATTGATGCAACGGACCCCAACTTGTTGGATTTATGCTTTATGATATATTATTGGATTGGAACGTGATTCTCCTGCATTGTCTATTTTTTTCCAGAGTGCTCACTGCCAGCAGCATGCAAATTCCTTTTCGAGGAGGTGAAATCATCTTCAGTCGTGATTCTCCTAATAGAGCTATCTCTTGCATCATTGACAGATGACATCAAAGGCTACAAGCTCTGGTACTGTAAGAATAGAGAAGACACTTATAGCAAAGAGCCTGTCTGTATCTTACCAAGAAGCAAGAGAAGGGTTTTGATATCCAACTTGCTTCCATGTACGGAGTACTGCTTTAGGATCGTGTCCTACACAGAAGCAGGTGTTTTGGGACACTCCGAGGCCAAGTGTTTCACAAATAGTGTTGAAGTATTTAATAGAACTTTGAAGGGGAATTTAGGTACTGGAGGAAGCAGCTTTAGTGCAACAACAGTGGTGGAGTCCGATTCTGGTTTCAGAGTGCGTGACCTTGGCAAATTATTACAGCTAGCATTGGCCCAACTACAGAAAGGCTGTTCATCAGATACAGAAAAGCTGTGTAAAGTTTGTGATATTATTGACAATAATAAGGCAAGCATACAAAAACACAAAAGAAAACTTTCTGCTTCGAGGCAGCTTGACTTAAATGTTGCTTCAGTTCCTGATTTGAATGAAGAGTTTACCCCTCCTGTTAACTCATCTAGAGAACAAGAGGTAGAAGACATCGGGAGTGATGATGATGTTGCCAGGTCAGATAGGAGTGATGACTTCCAGGATTGGAACAAGAAGAAGAGGGGTAGCACCAGCAATGGTGGTGAAACACATGACTCCGATAGCACCTTGATAAATGATGGATCACCGATACAAGCTCGTAATGCTTCTTCCAGGTGCTTTGATGAGAACTTTGAGTACGGTGTGAAGATTATACGGTGGCTGGAGTGCGAGGGTTACATTGCAAAGGACTTCAGGTTAAAGCTGCTCACTTGGTTTAGTTTGAGGTCAACCGAGCAGGAACGTAGAGTCGTTATTACCTTCATTCAAACTCTAATTGATGATCCAAGTAGCTTAGCTGGACAGTTGATTGATTCTTTTTCAGAAATGGCATCAAACAAGAGGCCCCGAAACAACTTTTGCAGTAGGCTCTGGCATTAAAACCCTTGTCCAGTTTGCTTTTAACATTGTTTCTGTCAAAATCGTTACGCTGCAGCAAATCTTGCCAATTCACCATTCTGCACAGGACATTTTTTTGTGTGTGAAGTGATTCATGTGTTATTAGGAGAGACAAGCCTATTTCTGTGTGTGTAGCTAGCTATCTATAAAGTATTTGGTGGGGTGGGGTACTTGAGTAGGAAGATCAAGTTTCTCCCCTCAGAGGCTCAGACAAGGAGATAATTTGTTTAGATTCAAGAAAGCTTAAATTTGTAGCCTTGTAGGAAGCCATTTTGATCTTATTTTTCTTAATATTGCTATTTCTCCAATTAAAGTAGTCCTTGACTCGATTCGGGCCACCCGGATCGGGAACCGGCCAGGCCCGCTACTGTGCGGGACCGGCCCGACCCGGTTCTTTGGGCCCAAAACCGGTCTTAGACCCGATTATTTAGGCTGAGCGGGGCGGGCTCGGGTTGGTAAAAAGGAGGCCCGGGCCTGGTTCGGGCCAAATTGATTTTTTTTTTCGTTTTTTTTTTCATTTTTTTGGGCTCCACTCGGGTTGGCCTTGATGTTTAGGAGGGGTTTGGGGGGTGGGCTCAGGGATAGGTAGGTAAGCAAAAAAAAAAAATTAACCAAGCTCGAGGCTTGGACCGGATCCGGCCCGGACCCGGTGGCTACCCGGGCCGGTCCCGGGTTCACCTATTCAGAACCGCCGGCCCGCCCGGGCTTAAGTCCGACCCGGACTCAGCCCGAATCCACCCCTAATTTAAAGCAAAGCTCATTTAACTCAAATTCAACGTGATGCATAGCAAGAGCTCGGCTCTAATTCAACATCATACAAGTCATAGACTCAAGTTTGACACATCACAATTTCATAGCAAGAGCTCGGCTCTACTGTATGGCTGGACTGTGGGCCCCCTCCTTTGTTCTCTTTTGCAATGTTTGAGCCAACCACTCTATGATGTCTGCCCCTCCCCTTTGTATTATCATTTTTTCTTGTCTTTGCAGATGGTAGGAAGGTGTGGGATGGTCCCCAAGTTATCCCAATTAATTTGGGATCAAAATATTTACCAATACTTCCAAAAAGGAAAAATGAGTCTTATTGTTTTATCTTTTTTAATGTGATGTCTTTTTGTACTCATTCTAATTTATTTAGACAAGTCAACTTTCTACATCATATTATTGATCCCTAATATGTGTAGGATGGTCCTAATAATTCATATGATGTACAATTATAGGAGAAAACTCTATTCCCATTATTTAGCTAAATAATGCCAAAGATGGGACCATATGAGTTTGTTTTTGTCTCTAGGGTTCCCTCATCCCTTTATTCGTATTTATCAATTATGATAGCCCTCCTAACATTTCTAGGATATCCCTTCCATCAAACCTGCTATTTTTAGCAGGTTGGGCCCAAAGTAACCCTTGGATTGCCTAACCTTCCTTATTTTGTCTAGTAGGGTTATGCTGTTTATGCATCTTTCTTCACATAGTATTGGGCTCTTATACCTAATAAGATAGCCCAAATAAATATTTGGAAGTCCAACATTATAATACGGGCTCAAACGATCGTACGACTGATCATACATTACGTAAAGCATTAATTGTTTTATAATTGTTTGATAATAGGGAAATCAATACATAAACTTCGAATTTTAAATTTAATTTCAATAACATCTGGGTGCGGTGTCACATGCCAGCCATTCAGGGCATTCAACTTCGACGATATGATTTATGCCGAGTAGCATTGTCACTTCAGCCTTGACTGTTTCCAGTGCATCCACGGGTTTGGCTCTAGGAGTTTCCTCCTCTTTGATTGCAGCTTGGGAGATGGTGTTTATGCGCATGTCCCTAGCAGCCATCTTCTTCTCAGTCATTTTCATGTAGCAGGACCATGCTATCTTCTGGCTTCCTCTGCAGTATCTGACCCCGGTGTCAGTCTGGAATTTCATGCAGAGGTGCTTGAGGGAGATCACTACTTCTAGGTCCTCCAGGGTTGGCCTTCCGAGTATAACATTGTGTGCACATTCAAGTCGCACTACCACGAACTCCACTAGGATCTTAGTGTGATGAGATCCATCCCCGAACTCCACTGTGAGCTCGATAGTGCCCTCGTCGTCTATGGAGTCACCGGTGAATTCGGAGAGGGGAGTTCGGATAGGCCTCAGAGAATTGAGGCGGAGGTCCAGCTCATGGAACGTCTTGATGTACATAATATTGACAGAGGAGCCAGTATCAACATATGCACGGTGGATTATCGCTACATTCACTTCACATTTAACCACCAAAGCATCCCTGTGAAGGGAAAGGAAGTCTGGTAGGTCGCGGTCAGTGAATGAGATGATATCCGACCTCGCTCTTTTTGAAGAACTAGGTGGGGGGTTTGTGATTTTCCCCACACAAAGCTTGTTGTTCCATTTCTTCCTCTAGTTGGCAGCATCTCCGCCAGTGTTCCCTCCGACGACCATTCGGACCTCACGTCGGCGCCGCTGGCTACGCCTTTCATCCTCGGCCGAATCTTCATCGGAGGGTAGTCCAATATTCTTCTTTTTCGGAGAGCGGATGGGCTCCCGTTCATCGTCCTCGTTCATGCGCTCGTAACTGCGCTTCTGGCCAGTTTCCGGTTTGCGAACAAACTGAGTCAAGTACCCCCGATTGATGAGCTTTTCAATTTCCAGCTTCAGGTTCTGGCAGTCATCTGTTTTATGACCGTGGAACCTGTGGAATTTACAGTAGGGGCCTGTTTTGTCCACAGGTTGAACCTCGTTTATTCGCGGATCCCGGACCACGAGTCCATCCTGATCAGCGACTTCAAGAATATGGTTGATAATGTGGACCATAGGGGTCAGGACCTTAGGTGCCATGAGTTTCGGAGCAGACCAGGGGTGCTTTCCTTTGTAGCCGCCCTGCTCCTATTCCGGTCACTATCATCACGGGGTCGTTCTTCTCTTTTATGTTTTTTCTTCTCCTGCTGCTCTGGCTCCTATTTCTGGGGCTTCACATCATTTTCCTGTGCCTTTTTACGGCTGTGGGCCTCCTTCACTAGGGCCTAGTTATGCCCTCAGTGGAGTGCTCGCTAGTAATCCCTTGGGGGATATGTGATTAGGCTCCTTAAAAAGCCTTCAGTCCATAAAACTTCATGTATCATGGCCAGACGGGTATTGTCGCCTGCACCATAGACCTTTGAGGTCTCTTCATTCCACCGTTGCAAAAACATGCCCAGAGGCTCGTCTCTGCCCTGCTTAACAGAGAGCAGGTGGGAGATGTGTTTCTTGCAGCAAAATGGGTAAGGAAGCTCGTGGCCAACTCCGTCCATGAGTCAATGGACTCATCTGGCAGGTCATTAAACCAATCATATGTTTCCCCCTCTAACGTGGAGGGGAACATTCTGCAGATATATTCGTCGCTAGCACCCATCATATACATGCCAGATTGATAGCGAGAATAATGCTCCCGGGGGTCAGTTTTACCCCCATAGAGTTGGATATTGGGTCCCTTATAGTTTGGGGTATAGGGGCTTGCATTATTCTGGCGGTGAAAGGGGTGGCGGTTCTTACTTTCATCGTTATTGATTCGATATTGATCTGAGCCTGCATTTGCTGTACCTGGAGTGCTAGCGCCTCCAATTGAGCATCGCGCGCTGTGGGTGGAGGAGGTGGTGGTGGCACTGCTGTAACCGTTGCAACCCGCAATTCATTCACTTGTTGGGTGAGAACACGGATTTTCTCCTCCCTTGGGTTTACCTGACGGTGGCGTCGTGGTGGAGATTCCTGATATCGCCTAGGCAGTGAGAGATGCGGTTGGCGTAGAGGTTTTTGTTGTTGGCGTGGTGGCAAGATCCATTGTTGCCTTGGGGGAGAAGGCGGTTGCTGGTGGCATGGGGGGCGAATTGAGGGGAATGATTGCCCCTAGCCTTCCCAAAGCGGGAATTCGCTTTGGAGTCCTTCTCTCCTGATGTGGTGGCTGTTGTTGGCGGCGCTGGGAACATTCAAAACTAGGGAATTCGCCATGTCTATTCCCCAAATGTTGACAGAGAGGCGCTGGTTCGCCGTAGATTTGTCACCCAATTGACTGAAGATGGGACACCTTCCCACTTCAATCCAAGGATTGAGGTTGTTATCCTGCTGCTGCCCTTGTGGGGCAAAGGACTGTGAGGAGTCCTCAATGGTGATGGCGTAGACGCCTTCATCATTGTGGCAACCGTAATCCATACGATGTGCCATGTATTTTGGTGGCTGCATGGGGTGGTGGTGGTGGGGCCACAAACTGTTGTACTGTTGTAGGCCGAGAGGCCCCGCTTGCTGTGCTAGAGGCACAACATTGATGGGTGCACCAGATGCCACCTGGAGCATTGGGGGAGAACGGGTCCTAAGAGTGGCTTGTTGGCAGGAAACTCCTGCCCGTTGTGCAGTTGGAATTGCAGTAATCACCGGTGTTGGCTGTTGGCGTGGTGGAGATGGAGGGAAGATCATTTCAGCACGTTTGTCCACCACCAGGGGGCCTCTATGTTACCCACCCTCAGAGACTGCCGGGGAAATTGACCTTGTGGAATTGTTCGCCACTCCTGTTTCCATCTGGAGTTGCAACGTTGGTAGTACCTGCTGCAAACCAGAGATGAGGGCGCCAACCGCCGCAGAAGGATCCTCCATCAGAAAATTCTGAAATTGCGGAATCACTTGAGCGGACGATATTGCTGATGCATCACGGTTTTGAGACAGTTGGTGGCGGAGATCTGGGAAACCCCGCTGGATCTGACTGTGTAGATCAGCAATCACTGGGGCCGCTTGTTTGCCCATAATTAGCAGCTCTCTGAGCACCAGAGCTATCAGTTGTCTCAACTGAAGGTACGGTTCAAGTTCAGCGACGACGAGAGCAACACATCTGTTTCGCATCATTCTCTTTCCTCCTGCCATTGTTGTGAAAGAAATGATTGTTGTAGAACTAGAAAGGGGGGATCTGAACCCGATTTACCGTTCTTATCTCAATGAGAGCACCAAATGATGGATTGCCGACCCTGGGGGGTAGCGTGAATCTGGAAAATAGGGGAGAAGATCGGAAAAGTTGCTAAGTAAAATCAGGTATAAAATTCAGTAGCGTAACAACAAGAGAACTCTAAAATCGGGTCCCTTTCCACACGTTCGAAGTTGATATATATATATACTAAAAGGTAATACTTGGTGCCCAAGTAACAAAGATGATGTTCTATTGTGGAGAGGACATGTGTCATGCATGTCTAAAAGAATAATCGGGCTAATCTAATAATGTGTTGACTCATGTAAAGGT